GGTTGGATTAGGCTAGGTTGTGTTGGACTAGATTCGATTAGGTTATGTTGGGTTAGATTAGGTTAGTATCTGTTAGGTTAGATTAGGTTAATACTTACTTTAATTATAAAATTTGAATTTCTTACTTATATCTCTATGATATCTTTCTTTTTATTTTTTCTTCAACCAACCTCTTTTTTTATCTTTGTACTACTACATCTTTAATAAGACTAGTGGTTTTTTATTTGGAAAATTTGTTGTTTATGATCACCCTAAAGTGTAAATATGCAGGTATATAAAATACAATTAAATAGTTTTCTGTTTTTATGACAAAACTTTCCCATTATACTTAAATCGCGCTAAAATTCATGGTATGTCAGCATAACGTTTTACACAGCAACTGTAGATACAGTCGGCGCAGTAGAAATCGCGATACCACACATTAACGTAATGTTGAAATTTGCAATTTTGTAAAAAATTTCATATCGTTGCCAGATACTACAATTATATGCTTATTCTATACCTATACAGGGTATCCTACCACGAACTCCTTCGATGGATATCTGGGAAACCGCTCGAAGGGTTTTTTTGAAATTGTGATGGTGTGACGGACCGTGGGGCCTACCAAGCTAAAATATTTTCAAGGTCATCGTACTTTCGGTTATACCGGAAGTCGATACTAACTTTCTTATTTTAAATGGAACCCCCTGTATAAAAATCCTTCGAGCGGTTTTCCAGATATCTATCGATGGAGTTCATGGTGGGACACCCTGTATAGATCATATAATAGTATAAGCAGTACAAAAACAAGTAAATGCATTTAACAAGTAATCTATTTCTATAAAAACTATTGTTTTTAACAGAAAATATATAATGTAGTAAACATCATTCATTAAAGAAAGGAATTTACCAAGAAAATTAAATTAGCCACACTATATTAAAAAAATGATTTAGCTATGTATTATATAACAGTGTAATAATATTTGGTTGTTGCTCCATTACTAACAATTACTGCCCCTAAACGTCGCGGCATGGAATTTATAAAAGTAGAATCTACATTTTCATCCAAATATTTCCACTTCTGGAGCAGAACCTGGCAGTTTATCGTAATTTCTACGATGGAAGTTGGTTTAAATCTGGACTTCTAGAATGTCATAAAATGTTAATATTGATTCCCCCAATTCAGATTCGAATTACATTGGAGTTATGGATTGGGGAGGATGAACTTGCACACAGGGTAGCATTAATTCTCCAAAATATTTACATAAACACCCCAACAATTACTTACTTTTTTTACTTCATGCACATCTTTCGTCGTAGCGTGATTTTGATAGTCTGTGACCACTGGTGGCATGATGGGAAAACTTTTTCGTCGGAGAAATCAACGTTGTCCGAAAACTCAATGTCTCTATTGGCGAACTCAAAAGCAAATTGTTTAATGCTTGTTGTGTTCCATTAAGTAGTTTACTTTGAGTTGAACATTTTTAAAGCCCCTTAACCATTTCTGTGTTATTCGAACAGTTCCAGGAAGATTCGCCTGTTCTACAGTCGCCATTCAAACGGATTCTTCCTTAAACTTCCTATCCATAATAATACGACTTTCTTCTTTTTTAAAAGGAAAATATTTATACTTATAATTTAGAAGGACTTTAAACATATGTTAGTTTCTGGATAATTATTACCATTTACATAGCTAACTTATAAAAACCCATTTGTCACATTTGTCAAGGCGTAAAACGTGTTGTGACATTAACTAGGATTTATTATAAATGCTATAAAAATGATAGTACATATCTATGTATACTAATGCATAGGTGTTTCACATGACGTCAAAGTTGTTCTCATATCATTGACCTTAGTAGTTGAAAGAAAGGTTCACATTAGACGCGTGTCTGATCAATGACTAATAAACGAGAATAATAAGAGGATAAGAGGATCACAAGGATCAAGCCTATACCTATCAGAATGCTCTCGACTATTCCCCGAATAATATTCTAATAAAGGTATCTCTTCGGTGACAAAAAATTTTTCCACATGGGAAGTTGATATAACAGAAATCGTACCTCATTGAATATTTAAGAGGGCCATGCATTGGAAAGGCTATTCGAGATGAACAAAAGAAACACAGGCTAGGGTGAGACTTGCCTTCGCACATATTTTGATTTCTGTGCAATGGCTGCGGTGTTGCCAGATGTGAGCAATGGATGTCGCACATACATATATGATCTGCATTAATATATCTACATTATTAAAAGTTGTCCTTTTGCAAAAGAAAATTTAATAGTTGTTTAAATAAATGTAGTTAAAATGAACGGCATATTTTTTTATTATTTTTACAATTTCTGAAAATAATAAAATAAGTAAATAAAAAAATCAATTAATATGTCACCATAGAAAAATAGCAAAAATTTTATATTGCCAAAATCACAAATTAAATGTTTAGCTATACTCCCCGGTCGAAATTATAAAGAGTGATTCATCGCTAGCTTTTGGACTAGTAAGGGGGATGAAGCGTGCCGGGAACGAAAATCCATTGGCGTGTCTGCGTAAAAGGCAACAAGATATAGAAAATATTGAAAAAAGATAATAAAACATAACATCTAATATTTTTTACGGTTTGCTATAACCGGCACTTTGATCCATTTTAATTATTACAGGATTTTAAAACGTCCCAGTTGTATTTTTTTAATTTATATTAATATAGCCATGGAATTAGACCCCTCGTCTACGCTTATGCTATGACGTTTCTCAGGACGGCTAAATCAAGTCCGTTTACACCCACTTAAAAAGCATTTCCCTATTCCCTACCAAGTGCAAAAGACAGAGATAGAATATAGATCGACGTTCAGTGTAACTCAGTCTATGGACGATTATAGATTCTATCGATGTGCATAACGAGCGGCACAAAGATAAATAATACTGAACCGTATAAAAATCATTTTATATTTTATACGCATTATGGTAATAGTGTTTTTATATTATGTCTGAGTCACTCTCTATAATTTCGACCGCGGAGTATAGGCTCTTAAAATTACAATTTTTTTAGTTTTGTTTAATTTGTTTATTAAATTTAAACTGTTATTGTTTTCAGTAAAAAAAGTTCAGTAAAATAAGTTTTAAATGTAACTAACCTATTTGTGATATTGTGAAAATAGTTATAAACATTAAGATTATATATTTAATTTAGGTATTTTATACAAAAATATTATTAACAATTGTAATTAACTAAAATTGTGGCAATTAGGCAAGATGATCAGTAAAATATAAGACTTGTAAGTATAAAATAAATACAAAATATCCTTTTGCACAGTTGTATTAGTTGGTTAATTTAAAAAATAATATATGCATATTGGCTGTAATAAAATATAGATAAAGTTGAAGGGTGAATATAGTATAATCTCGAATATAATGTGATCGCCAGCCACCTGTTTCGTCTTATCGGCTCATGATGTCCTTAACGAGATGCCTTCGTTTTGACACAAGTATAGCTACATATATATATTGTATATAAACAGACAATTTAAGTTAATTGTTATACATAAGACTTAAAATAGTTAATATCCACATGGTACAAATCGTGTTAAAGAGTCAGTTTAAGAATGTAGTCTAAATGCAAACATAACTTTAAATATTGTGTTAAGTTGGAAAAAGCAGTATATATTTTGCGCAATAAAATGAATGATTTGACAGAAAGTCGTTGCATTTCCATGCCAATATACGCCTTGATTTCGTTTGTTAGTGACGTCATCCCATGCGCGTAGGCACACCATACCAAATACACATTACAAGACACATGTTATTTCTGCAGTATTTCTTAATATACACGGCCAATACAGGGTGTTCCAGAAATAGACGCTAAAATTTTGCCTACGTTTTAACAAAAGCATCAACTTTTGTCTAATATTTTTTTACGAACATCTTAGTTTATAAGATAATATGTATAATTTTTCATTAAGTCGAAAGGTTCACTGAGTTAAAAATAATCAAAAGGGAGTACAAAATCGTAACTCATTAGTACTAATATTTAGTACTTTAAGTTAGCAAATAACTTTAGGAAGTGATGAACAATTCCATAAAACAATCACATACATTACTTACGTATTTTTGATTCCATAGGCAACTTGTTAGCGTTGTTATTGGGTACAATATATCGGACAAAGTGAATTTTCGAAAGAATGTATTGGGCAAAAGTAACTTTTTTAATGAGTTATTATTGAGACTCTTGTATATCACACACCCTGTATGCAAGGGAAGGTTTCCTAAATGTGTTTGTGATCTAGTTTTATTTTGAAATAGTTCATTTTTTCTGTTCAGGTTAAAAAATTATGCAAGTTAGATAAATTATCTTATTAATAAAAAAGACGATCAAAATCTTATCACAACTATGGTAGTTGCAGTTTTAAAATTATAAAGAAGCTCCTAGTTTTTCGTTAAAAGGCGGATGTAGTTAATTTTTCATTAAACTTTCTATTAAACGGTTTTTGTATTTCTTTTTTTATATATCTTTTATTATATTCTTTAAACTATCCCATATAATTTTCTTAAATCGAATTGCACAACCAACTTGTTGAAAAAGAAAAAAAAACATTTAAAAATCACAGGTACCTACACTGAATTATCTTGTTCAGATATTAATAAACTATAAAAAAATCAATCAAATAAGAATCTAACCTAGAAATATAAAAAAAAATTAAAAAAACACATTTTTTAAATATTTTAATGATTACTGACACTTAATTAAATTTTACAGGTACCCATCTAAATGTGATTTAATGAGTTAATACAAAAGGAAGCAATTTCTGTGTTGAATGGAAATACATTTGTTGGTGATATATATCTTTTATAATCATTATAATCTTTTATATATACGTATTTAATTATTATTTTATAACAATTTGCTAGATCTAATTACCAATTGCAACAAGTGGCAACCGTGTAAGCGTTCGTTTTGTTGGTCGGAGAGTCAGTTCGGCAATGTTCGGAAGTCGTCGTTTGAAAACTGAGTTGGTTGTGTAGTTGCTTTGCCTTGTGGCTGCCGCTGCTGACTCGTGAACGGTATGTGCAAAGAAGAGTTTTGTGCCAATAACATTGGAGTTTTGCTTGTTTCTGTGTGATGTGGTGTGTCGAAGTAAGCTTTTCTGGCTGCGACATGGGTGCTTTGTGATATGTGACCAGTGAATTGTGTTATATTTGTGATGAGTAAGGATTACACCGAATATCTATAGAGGATTATTTACTTTTAGTCGCCGCGTAAGTTCAGTGCAGGATAATTATTGTTTGGCAACCCAAGCTGGTAAGTTTCACACCACACCTAATACTTAATAATTATTTTTGTTTGTTTTGGTGTCATTTTCCTATATATCTTTGTTCTTCCCAGGAAAAATACTGCCGTACATCTGTCTTTCTCTTTGGCTATCTCTGTTTATTTATATGTACCTCTTTTTCCTTTTCTCCCTGCTGACGCGTTGGTATCTTACTCATTTTGCTGTTCCATCACGGTAGACTTTCTGTCGCATTCTCTCTTACGAATAGTGTATGTTGTTTCCTCTTTTCATTTATGCAGTAGACGCGTTTTCTGTTTTCTCAACTGTTCGATCGGCAAGGGAAGCCATCTTGTAACTGCGGCTTCGAGCTTCGAGCTTCGACTTCTAATCTATTCCTTGATTGTTTATTGTTATTGTTCAAGTTTTTGGTATAATAACACATTTTTAAGAAGTTCTATTATGAATAATTGCCATGCATTACCAATTATCCTTCCAAAACAGACTATACATATACAAAGTAGCCTGTAATTAGACATAATAATTAAGTAGGTAGGTAGGTAGGTAGGTAGGTATCTGTTAATAATAATTATTAAATTGATAATTAAGTACCTACTTGGATACCTAGGTGTTTCATAAAATAAATAATATTAAAGATATTTAATATAAATGTTATTATCATAGGTACCTATAGGTATAGCTCGACTTATACCTATTTAGTAGGCTAGGAAAAAGAGCTGGGAAATGACCATTTCGCGACTTTTTGTTTCGGCAAGCTGAATTTATCACTACCTATACCTAGATGCTAAATATTATGTACAATAACATATTAGTTTCCACAGTTTTAAAAATGGGGGGAAGACTGTTTACATGGTGGTTAATTGTATAATTTGTACGTAAATTCACGTTTTTCGCTTATATCTTTTTTCCGTTCATTTCCACCAGAAAACAGTAGAGTACTTTTTTTCGTTTTTAAAAGACCTACAAAACTAGCCCTCGAGCATAAAAAAATATTGATTAGATCAAAAGTTACAAACAGAAAAAGTTTATTTATGACTTGAATTAAACAACTATAAACTGCGTTATTATTCCCAGAACGTTTTGACATCATATCCTCTTATTCCTTTTCACTGTCCAATAACTCACACGAAATCTGGAATCTGTAAGTTGAATAGTTTACAAGTTATGGCCTTATAAACAATAAACAAATTAACTAATTATTAGTCTGGACGATCTCGAGCATCTTGCACAATCGCAATTTTTTCATGTTGTATTTCATAATAATACAATGAAATCTATCATTTTTCTTTTAAATTTTACATTTGCAGCCTGGATTTGTTTATTTTTTAGTTGCAAAATGAAATATATGACGCACGCACGTGATATAGTTATATAGGTATTATTACATATTCAGAAAGCTTATGAAAAGAGCTTTGAGCTAAAAAAATCGTCAAGATTAGTTGTAAAACAACGGAGTTACAGACTGTCAAATATACAGGATGATTCAAGACTATGAATATTATCGTCATTTTCTTCGGACTCGCTGTCGTTCGCTTCCCCCACCCTTCCGCCGCGCCACGGCTCGTCGAAAAATCAAGCGACCCATTGACTTTTAACAATATTTCTTATGCACTTGACATACTTCTACAAATAAAATATTTTTACCTGGGAAAGTACTCTGGTTACCCTAATTTGTTTAACAATAGGTCGTCAACTTTGACAGTCTGTAACTACGTATATTTTTCAACCATCTTGACGATTTTTTTTTAACTTGAAGTTCTTTTCATAAGTTTTCCGAATATGTAATAATATACAGGGTGATTCATTAACAATGGGAAAGCCGAAAGCTGAAGATACTATACGTGAAATAGTGAAGATTGGCGCAAACATGCCTTATCCGAAAGTTAATAGTTTTGGAAATACAGGGTGTTGAAAGTTAAAATTTTAAATAGTTTTTTTGCGATTGATTATTCTGAAAATATGTAGGTTAGGAACTTGAAAATTTGTGAAACAATATTTTTTTAGGCGACGAATAAGATGCGTGTTGTAATTTCAGCATTGCTCGTAGAGGGCGCCACTTACTACCAATTTTATTTTTACCCTGAATATTTGACATGAAACTTGATTCAAAACCTGAAAGAGCTATCATTTTTCCATTAATTATGTGGGTACTCTTGTTTCATTTCGGTATCTCGATCCGTTTTCGAGAAAAATCGATTTAACGAACACTGTGTTTTGATAATATGAGAAATTAAAAGCGAAACAAACCAAGTGTTTCTTCGTGTTATTACAACAATTAACAATAAAACAAATAAAATACGTAATTATGATTTAAAGTAATTGTTCGAAGAATCCACTGTTGACACTGATACACTTTACACGTTTTCTGAGAGATCTACGAGTTTGAAACAACATATTGGGATTGCGTGTGACTTCGTTGGCAGCGATTTGTATTCTTTGCCACAACTCTTCACACGAGCCAATAGATTCTTTGTAAACTATATCTTTCATTCGAGACCAAATAGAAAAATCAAGAGGTTTGAAGTCCGGACTTCTGGATGGCCATGCAAAAATGATTACATGGCCAATCCAGCGATTTGGAAAAACTGCATATAAATATGCACGCACTGGCCAAGAAAAATGCGGTGGAGCTCCGTCGTGCATGAACCACCACATGTCTCTTCTTAAATAAACTGGAACTTCTTCAAGCCGTGGAAGCATTTTTACTTGGCCACCCAGAAGTCCGGACTTAAATCCTCTTCATTTTTCTGTTTGGAAGAATATATAGGTTCGTGTGAAGAGTTGTGGCAAAGAATACAAATCGCTGCCAACGAAGTCAAACGCAATCCCAATATGTTGTTTCAAACTCGAAGATCTCTCAGAAAACATTGTGTAAAGTGTATAAATGTCAACGGTGGATTCTTCGATCACTAACTTTAAATCATTATTACGAATTTCATTTGTTTTATTGTTAATTGTTGTAATAACACGAAGAAACACTTGGTTTCTTTCGCTTTTAATTTCTCGTATTATCAAAACATAGTGTTCGTTAAATCGATTTTTCTCGAAAACGGATCGAGATACCGAAATGAAACAAGAATACACAATTAATGGAAAAATTATTGCTCTTTCAGGCTTTGAATCAAGTTTCATGTTAGACATACAGGGTAAAAGGTTATTAACTAAATTTTCGGTAAAATTGGTCGTAAGTGGCGCCTCTACGAGCAATGCTGAAATTACAACACGCATCTTATTTGTCGCCTAAAAAGATATAGTTTCACAAATTTTCAAGTACCTAACATACATATTTTCAGAATAATCGCAAAAAACGATTTACAATTTTAACTTTCAACACCCTGTATTTCCGAAACTATCAACTTTTGGATAGGGCATGTTTGCGCCAATGGTCACCGTTTCACGTGTAGTATCTTCTGCTTTCGATTTTCCCATTGTTAATGAATCACCCTGTATAACTATATCACGCGTGTACGTTGTATATTTCATTTTACAACTAAGGCTAAAAAATAAAAAAAGAATTCCAGGTTGCAAATTTCAAATTAAAAAAAAAATGATAGATTTCAATGTATTATTATGAAATCTACCATGAAAAAAATCAGTGCGATTGTGGAAGATCCTCGGGATCGTCCAGACTAATAATAATTAGTTAATTTGTTTATAAGGCCATAACTTGTAAACTATTCAACTTACCGATTCCAGATTTCGTGTGAGTTATTAGACAAGGATGAGGAATAAGAGGATGCGATGCCAAAACGTTCTGGTAATAATAACACAGTTTATAATTGTTTAATTCAAAAGTTATAGATAAACTTCTTCTGTTTATAACTTTTGATCTAATCAAAATTTTTTGATGATCGAGGGCTAGTTTTGTAGTTCTGTTGAAGATAAAAAAAAGTACTCCACTGTTTTCTCGTGGAAATGAACGGAAAAAAGTTATAAGCGAAAAACGTAAAAATTATATATTTAATTAACCACCCTATTTTTATGACTGTGGTGTTATTTTACATAATATTTAGCATCTATACAAAAAGTCGCGTCCAACCAAAATTTACCTATACATATGGACATACGCCGATAAATGCCTTTAAAAAAACTATGAGCCTTTAAAAGGGAATCCAAGGTTGTTAAATTTTCAGATATCTTCGAAACTGCTTAAGATAAAACAAAAAAATTTGAAAGTGGTTATTACTATTAAACTTTGCATCTAATAATGATCAAAAAATTGTTTCTAAATTTTAATTAGACGAGTTCTAATTCTAAACGAGGGAAATTGTGTTTGTTTTTTTTAACACAACTTGAAATTTACCCTTTGGTGTAGTCGAATATGATTAGGTACCTATGAGCCTAAACAGCATTTTTTTTTTGCCATACTTTTTTATTAGAAGATAGTTTATTTACCTCGTTATTTGTTTCTGTTTCATAAAAAATGGATTTCCTGGTGGGTTTCAGTTTTTTTATTGCAAGTATTTGGAAATATTTTAATGCAAGTAAACTTCGCTCTTGCTATGCGTTCGTTTTATAATTAACTCTACATAGATGATTGATTAAAAAATTGTATCTCGTTGAAGGTATAAAGAATCGTACTCGAAATCGTACAACTCTTGATAGAATGTCAATTTTAAACAGGTATTTATAGAAAGTTCAAAATTATGGTTATACTAAAGCGGAATCAAGGTACTTGCCTATCTAACGCTCTTGAAAAACATTTAGATACGCATTACAAGTTACATACCTATACCTTGGTATGTAGGTACGTGTGTTAACCAATTAAATAATTATGCGTTTTTGAGTAACATTTTCACATTTAGGTACTTACTATACGTTTTCATTTTCCCAAGAATGAAAGGACAACTTGCAAAGGAATTGTCACCGACATTTTAGAGACAAAGAGAGGTAAGTAATTTAACAATATCAAGCGTACGTAAAACTGTATTTAAATATTATGTAGGTCAAGTCCAGATTTAATTATTTAAGAGAAACATGTTTCTGTTAAAGTTCCTGAGATTAGAAATGT